TTAGTAAGATAAAAATTAGAGGAAAGATAAATGGTTCTAGAATGATGAGCTTGAACAACAAAATTATCTGCTAACTGGATAAAAATAGGAGAAATAGAAACTAACTCAAAAAAAGATCAACAGAAGAACATATATGATCGATCACACCATTATCAATGATCCATGCAGACATAAGGCGTTTAGAGGAAAGTAAGTGAAATATAATTGGTGTTGAAGTCACATTAATAGAAGGTGTGGAAGGAGAGGTAATTACAAGATTAACTTGTACCGAAGAAGTTGGTGAAGCAATAGGTGCAAGGGTCTACATAAGATCGAGAAGCCTATTGTATTGATTCCAATGAATGATAGAGAGGCAAAAGAAGATGAGGATCAAGCAGTTTTATCAGTAGGTATAGAAGCATCTAGAGTAGTCGTAATGGTAGAAGACAAAACTATGGGTTTAGGAGCCATAGGGTTCCAGAAGCATGAAATAAAGCATAGAAGGAAAACAATGAAATTTTTTTTCACATGCTTTGATACTTTAACACAATTTATAAAAATAGTAACTTATCCTTTTAAGTCCAATGTGAAATTTATTTATACAAGGGAAAAGATCTATCAAGATCTATCAGAGAATAAAATAATAACAGAAAATAAAATAGTTATAATCACCCTAATTATGTAGAATAACATATACAATAAAAAAAACTAATTTTGCCCTATGTTATTAGTTTTAACGTTTCTTGATTTATTTGACGGCTCGGGTTTCTTATTTTACTATTTATATTACAGTCATTAGTGCAACTAAAATGGATCTGTTCTTGATAGAAAGTTATCGCCTACATTGTTTGATATAAAAAAGTCAAAATCTTATCTTCTAAGAAAGTGTTATAAAATTAATTTTTACTTGTTTGTGGCAAAATATGCTTTTAGCAACTTGTTCATAGATTGATTAGCTTACAAGAGTTATATGTGTATTGTCTACTATATGCACAGATAAATTAAAAAAATAGTAAAAAATTGGGTGTTAGCTTGATTATTCAGCTTCTGATATATTGTTATTCTAGTTAGAGCTCACCTGCATTCCTTATTTAGATGAAATAGAATAGAAGGGTCATTATTGGACCGAAATGGAATAAAACGTTTTACTTTTTGTAGTTTTACAAGAAAAACAAAACTCATTTAACCATTATTTAGTAGTTATTATAAATTTAATGGAATAAAATGGATTATGTGTTTTTTCTAATAACTCAAACCTTTTAACTATCTCACCCTATTTCATTAATCTGTTGAAGAAATATTTCCGATCACTGTCTTTGAGGAAGTTTAGCTTGATTTGGGAGGAAGCTTTAAAAAAAAAAAAAACAACGAAGAATAAATTTTAATTGAACTGCATGTTTCGCCAAACTTGAATAATGTATAGCCTGAGTCACATAGTTTTCCATGATTTCTTATTATATTTTTGTGACTTGAGTGCGCGTTTACCGTTTACCAAGTTATGTCATTTTTCTCTGTTGTCATCTGTCAACGAGAGCTTATCACTTTATTAATAGAAAGATTTTAGTTGATTCTATAAAGAAAAATGTCAAAAGTTTTATCTTATATGCTTAAACAAAGTAATTTAAAATGACCCTAAGAAAGATTGGTCTAATTGACAAGGATTTGACCCATAACTCACAAAATTATAAGTTCAATTCTTCTTTTCGATGTAAGAACCTTGTTGGTAGACAATTTCTATAAGCTCTCTTTGAGCCCTAAAGCTAGCCCTATCCTTGATAGACTCCCATGATCCAATTTATCTAAACTTTTCTCTATCAAAAAATTAAAAGTTTTCCTGTAAGGATGAGTTAATTTTGTTTCAGCGCAAGTGTGCAACTTCTTGTTAGATTGGTTTATTTAATTAGTTTACAAGTCAGAAGTTATTTGTGCCAACCATGCACGCTTATTGTTAGTGACTAGGTAGGACAAGTTATAAATTTTTAATTCAGGATATATTAGATTTACTTGAATGGATGAAGCAAGTGAGATCTTTCTTTCTTATTTTTTTTTTCAATACAAAGGCCATGAAAATGTGCAAAGAACAAGATGGCTACATGGCATGCAATTCAAAACGGAATTCTTCAAAGAGAATCTTCGATAAAACAAAAACAAAAAAATATACAGCTTCCTCATCCTGATGATGATGGCCACGGCAAGCCGGAAAGGTTGTGCAACGATTTTCTTCTTTTATACAAACATGCGATCGACATTAGTTGTTGGTTGATAACTTATATCTCTGCATTTCAATTTCAGTCAAAACCACCAATTTTTTTTTTTTTTGGGTTCCCCAATCAAAACCACCGATTTAATTTATATATTTTGTCCATTTAACTTCCTAGGTCATAATTGAATAGCTCAATGGCTCTTAGGAAGATGATATATGTTGTCTTACAAAGAGTGGTGAAGCTAGGTGGGGTGTAAGACAACTCAATTTAAAAATTAATAATTAAGAAAATAATATGATAATATTAGAAAAATTATTACATCAAGCCAAAAATAAAATAAAATGAGTAAAATTATGTGTATTTATCAGTACTTAGGAAAATATATATTGAGGTTTTTTTTTGGCCAAACATATGTTGAGAAGGTTGATATATAGTTTAAATTTGGAAGAAAAGAATCCAAAAGAATGACTTAATTTGTTGTAGTTGGATTTTATTATAAAATAATTAAACAACTCTTTGATCCATTTTCTTAATAATATGTCTAATGAGCTTAAAAATTTTTTGTATGAATTTATGGGATATGAGCTAAAACATCATGTATCTATTTTTTTAATCGAAATATTTTTTATTGAGTAATCTAGAGGGATCAAAATTCTAAAAATAGGGGTGCAAGATATTAAATTTTAGGTGTAGTTTTTTTTTCATGTGAGAGGGTTCATTTGCCACTCTCACATGGACATGGCTCCCATACTATTATACGTGTCATTTTATTAGAGACAATCTTATTTAAAGCAACATCAGACATTAAATATGGGCATATCTTTTTGTGTATATTCAAAATTTAGTTTCATCATATTTTGAGATACTAACCACTTCCACTAAACATAATCTCATTGGTATCTAATTTTATATTAATTTTAAGTCCATTCGATTGTAGATCAATGGGCAACCAATTTTTGTGGTGCCCATGTCTATCATGTTTGAAATGGATTAAGCGTAATAATCCTTTGTAACAAAATGTTTATTGTCAAAATATATTAATCATTGATGCATTTTGATCTGGCATGAAGGATAGGGTTTGAGACAAGAGTCATAAGTGACACTTTTGTTATGGCAACAAGCTATCAATAGTTGCTTGAGATGAAGACCAATTTCACTAATAAATGCCACCGCTGAAAGTCAATTTTTTTTGTAGTGATGATCCTGCAAATTTCGTTAATATAATAAACTATGAAGCGAGCCGATCAGGAAATATTTGGCGGATGAACCTTCAACTAAAACTTTGTCATTTATTACACGCACTCTCTCTCTCTTTCCCTTGTTTATAATTAGAGTTCTAGAAAAGCCATGAACGTGAATTTTTTGATTTCCTCAATATGCAACATATAACAAGCATAATAAGTAGGACTGAATTAAACGAATAAGAAAGGGAGAGAAATAAGCACTATTATAAAAATGAAATTTAACAACATAAATTTTGTAGCAATAAAAAGCAAAACGCCACAAATATTAAGGCTAAAGTAGAGATGTGGTATTTTTTATATTAAATGCCATAATTGGAAAATTATTTTTTATTTACAATTTTGGTAAATACATAGAGGTGGTGTTTTTTAAATGAAATGCCACAACTTTATATTAATCAACAATTAAGTGACATTTCAGTAATTAAACATCATATCTCTACTTTGTTATAAATTAATTATTTTGTTTTATAAGATTATATAAATGTTTTATCATAATTATATAATTGGTGTAAATAATCAATATATACAATTACTTGATAATTTAAAATCAAACAGGTGGCATTTTCTCTAATTGGAAGCGCCTCCTCTCTGATTCATTAATCAATCATTATCTAGTTAATAATTAAAAACAAAAAAGTGGTGTTTCTACAAACTGAAAATGCCACCTCTCTTATCTTAAAAATTAAATAATTATATATATTAATTAGCAAGTAATTAAATAAATTATATATACTTTGTAAAATAAGTATTTTATTAATAAATATCTTGTTTTGTTTGATAATAATTAATAACTAAAATTCGTGGCTTAATTATTCAAAAATTTTATATATTAATTACTAATTATATAAATTTCTTATAATTTATTTAATTAATATGTATATTACTGTGCAATATTATTTTACACATGTGGCGTTTCCAATAATTGCAAATGCCACCTCTTTGGTTTAATTACTTAAAAACTATATATATATATATATATATTTAAATTTTAAATAAATAAATAATTTATAATTAATTTAATTAAATATTGTTATTATTATGTATTATTATTTAATAATTTATGACAGATAGGTGGCATTTCATTTATGTGAAAACGTCACCCCTCTTATTCAATTATTTAAAAAATTATATAAAATTAATAGTTAATTAAATAAAATATTTAATAATTTATTAAATTACTACTGTCAAGCATATTTTTTTAATAGTTAAAATAAGATAGGTGGCATTGCCTTCATTTAATATTGGAAAACAGCTACATATTTTGACAATAATATTTTTTAAAAAATAAATAACAGTGGTGACATTTATAAGTTAAGGAACGCCATCTTCATTTATTAGAAATTAAGAGGTGCTATTTATTTCAAAAGAACACGCCACCTCTCTAATATTTTTTTTAAGAAAATGCTCAAGGAGATGGCGTTTGCAAAACAATGCACTCTCACTCTTACATCAGTTTTGTGACATTTTATTAATTAATAAAATACTATCAAAAATTTATTATAGCATTAAATCTTATAACATTTTATAAATAATAAAACGCTACCAAATTGAAGTTTTAAATGCTACTAAAGCCTATTTCTAGAGTAGTGAAATGATCAAATTAAATACTTATTAAACAATCAACACTAACCCAGCTTTATATGGGGAATACATAGAGCCTAATTAAAATACCAGATAACAATAATAAAATTTAAAAAACAAAATAATAGAACAATCCTCATCAAGCTCTTCAATGAAACAAACATTCAATACATAACTTAGTTATATACCTGGAGAAACAGAAGCATATTGAAGAACATCACGCTCAAACAAGGCCATCTCATTTTCTTCCATGTTAACAAGAACTTCAATCCCGTCCCCATCTCTTGTATCTTTAAGAAACATGCAATTCCTATGAGGGCAACAAGTAGTGGTCACCCATATCGGTTTTCCCCACCCAAAATCTGCTTCGTAAAGTGGAAATCTGCACCAGCTCGTAATATCAACCCCAACCATATCGGTGTTGTCTGGGTCCCAACTAGTTGCTTGTTGCAAAATCTCCGAGATGAATGACTTGTCCTTTCTCCCAAATTGTTCAACATGGGTATCACAAAACTCCGTCAAAGAGTGCTTCAATTTGTAGACAACCTCATTCAATCCTTCTTCCATCGTAGCAGATACTATGTAATACCAGATCATGTTTCCTATGGTCTTTTCAGGTACTGGAGGAAGCATTCTCGTCCGAAGGTTCGCCCAAGAGCAAAGCCACGTCGGTTGGTTCGATGATTTGAAAGATGAACTTAAAGCTGAAACTGCAGATTTGTAAAGAAAAGCACTCGCAACTTGCACGCGCGTGGGATTTTTCACTTGCTGCGATATCATGGCCTTGAGAGATTGAATCTTCGAGGCATCAAGTATGAACCGTTTGCATCTCAGAGTGTTGTCTCTCGCAAAAGCAATTTCTGGGTAATTTGGTAAACTTTCAAGTGGGAATATTGATGTCAAATCGTGGGAGGATTACTCTTTCTTCTCCTTCTTTCTCTTCTCCAGAAGATTCAAGTTTTCTGGCAATGGTGGCCCAGTCTTTGACAAAGTTGAAGATCGTATACCCATCGGCCACCTTGTGAGACACACACGCACTGATTGCAATTCCTCCGCAAACAAAATGGTTCACTTGAACGACCAACAAGGGATCATGTGGATTCACTATCTTCCAAGGCAATTCATGAGGGAAATAAATTCTTGAGATGGTCTTCCTTTGGGTTTCGAAGCAAACCTGATAAATCATATTTGATATGATTGACTAATAATGTTGCTCCCTCGTCGTTGCAATCTATGGAAGCTCGATCTCTGATTCTGCCAGGAAGTGGGTAGTACATGGCAAGAACTTGATATAAGGATTTCTTGACCACTTCATCAGATTTTTCTTCACGATTTTCAATAGTAATGGTTGGCTCGTAAAGGTAAACTACTGGAATGTAGTGACTAAAAATGACATGATCAAGAAAGGAAAGTGGATAAATTCTTAGATGAGGAAGGGTAGGAGAAGATGGTTTGACAGTTTCTCTTGATATGACTTCTATGTCCATCTTGAAAGGTTTCGAGGGATTTAGTGATTTAGAGACAAGTGTCGGAGTAGGTTGGTTGACTTATACATGGAAAAGAAACAGTAGGTGAGAGTGTAGTCAAGCGCACTGCCTGACGCTTTAGTTGACAGTGATTTTGACTGCCACGTTTTGACTGTCAGGTTGTGGGTCATAAGTGGTGGCTTTTTTACCTATTTAGCTAACCTTTGCCTCATTGCAATGAAGGTCTCATCGTGTACGTATTGTGGGAGTTGGCTTTCCTAGGAAGGAGGCCTCCTTAGCCCCTCCACTAATGAGGTGTATGATTTGGTCAGTCCTGTATTTTTTCTATTTTTTTTTAAATAAAAAATTTGCATAAATTTTAACATTTTTAATAAATATAATTATCAATCTAGATAGTTTTGTAATATAAAATACTCTATATTTAATATTAAAAATTTATAAAAATTATAAGAAATTAATATTAAACCTGTATTATTTAGAATATATATGGATAGTTAATTTAAGAAAATTTGGATATTAAATGTAGATCATTTATATTAAATTTGGACTATCCAAATTGATAAACAAATTTATTTAAAGTCTACAATTTATACAATTTTTTATTTTAAAAATATAAAATAAAATAATAAAAAGTCCATTAAATTAGACCATCTACATTAAACATGCACAATCCAAATCATACACCCCTTGAGCGGAATTGCAAGGAGGCTTCCCTCAACTCTTGTACCATGTAGTTGGTCAAAGGGATTAGGTATGGAATTTTTGATGAATTAAAAATTATTTTTATCTTTGAAATATATATGAAAGATTATAAATATCCTTGAACTTAGCTATGAGTTAATTATATCTCTCATTTTTAAAGATTCCTTTCACAATTACCTGGGCATTAAAAATATACGTTTGTTAGCAGTGTTTTAAAAAATAGACCAAATATTAAATTGAAAAAAGCAACAGGTCATGATTTTTATAATCCAACCTGTTAAACTATTGGTTGAACTGATAACATGATAATTAAATAAAAATAATATTATATACATATATACATAATATATAATATATGTATAAGAAATAAAATATTAATATTATTTTCTATAAGTAACTTAACAATCACTTTAAAATTAAATTTGAATTAATATCATAAATGAAGAAAACAAAATATTTTCCAAAATCTTAAAAAGAGTTTTATCCGAAAATAAAGATTTCTGACAAAAAAATTTTATTTTTTATAATAATATTTAAAATATTATTATAAGAGTAATTTTCTTGACTCTCCTTTATCAACGCATTGAAAAAAAGTAAAGAGTTGTCAGTTTTCAATTTTAAAAAAGTACATTTTATCTGACCTGTGCAATACCCCTCCCTCTCTTTCACATGATGATTTTGACGTTTCCTCCCCTTGGCTTCCCTGTGAAGTTTTTAGTTTCTTCTTCGTTTTCAGTTTTCACTCCCGCATCCTGTTACTCCATTTCAAAGGTTGCAGTAGGTGTTCCATGCTTCGTCTTTATGCCTTTATTTTCAAGATTTTCATTATTTCTGTTGCTGGTAAAACATCATCGTGAAGGTATGAGCTAGTTTTTTCTGTTGACGCTTCTTCCTTCCCCTTCTTTTTTCTTCTTCAGTTCAATCACGTCTCATCTCTCAAACCCGTCCGGTTTTTTAAAGGGAGAATTTCATTTAAGAATTTGGATAGTAACATATTTTTTGGTGGGTCTTAAAAAATTTTAAAACCTCGATTCAGTCCTTAAGGACTCAATTGAAAATATGTTCAATATAGAAAAGATCAAAATACCCCAGTTCAAATATATATAATGCCTGTTTGGATTTCAGTTAGGTATAATAGATTATGAAAATAATTAATTAAATAATAAATTTTAATCATAACTGATTATGCTATGGCGTAATATGTTTGGATATTATTTTTCTATAATTGATTTTAACAGAATTGAAGATGTTTGGAGAATTTAATCAAAATTAATTGTTAGCTATGTAAATTACTATATAATTTAATGTTTAAATGCCAAATGTCAATTTTTTGAAGATGCAAAGTTTAAATTTTATTAAGAAAGAAAAAAGAGAAAAGAAGAGAGTTTGGTTTTATTTTTATTAAATTATGTGCTTTTTTTGTAATTTTTGCTTGGGCCTGTCTTTGTAATTTTCCCCAACATTTTGGACAAGCTTTTTTCCTTAAGCTCTAATTCTCAACTTCCAAAAATAATCAATTTTTGGCCCAAAAATTGATTCTCCAAAAAAGTGGGTGTTTGGATAATTTTGTGAAAAATCAATTTTTTGGGCCAACAACAATTAGCCATCGTTGTTGAAGCACCACTGTCAGTGACTCGAACCTCACTAGCGATAGCAGCCATTGGACCTTCGACTACTAGTTGGACCACCATTGGTGGTAGCTAGCGAATTAATTTCTCTGAAGGTGGCCAGGTCAAGGTGGGTGTAGAATCCAAGACTCTTTAGTTTACCAAAAGACTTTGAATCACCAAGTCACTTAACCCATTCAATCATGTTATGTATAAAATTATATATATAATGAACCTTGTTTCCAAACTACTTGATTATTACGTTACTTGTTAATCGCGTAACTTTATTTGTTAATATTTTAACATGACTTGTTAATTACTTAACTTTTCTTGTTAATCCCATGACTCCTGCAATAGAATTAAATTACTTATTAATCACGTAATTATATTTGTTAATACCTTAACAAGATTTGTTAATTACTTAACTCTCTTTGTTAACTTCGTTACTCCCACAACAAAGCTGCATTACTTGTTAATCACATAACTGTAGTTGTTAATCCCTTAACAGGACTTTTTAATTACTTGAATTTACTTATCAAATCCATGACTCCTTCAATTGAACTGCATTATTTGCTAATCATGTAACTTTATTTGTTAATTATGCAACCATACTTATTAATTGCATAGCTTGACTTGTTAATACTATAACAAGATTTATTTAACTGTTGTTTCAAAAAAGCAATTAAATTACTTGTTAATTCATCAACAATACTTATTAATTATCTATTATCACTTGTTAAATGAATATATAATTTACATAATAAATTGAGTTTGTTAGATAATGAAAGCAACGACAATCAAGTCTCCTTTATTAGTATTCATTAAACTAGATACTCAATTATATAAGCATATATATATAGAGAGAGAGAGTACTGTACCCTAAAAAAACAAACATAATATTAACAATTAAAAATGAAGAAATGACAAGCTATTTTAGGCTTTTAACAAGTATACTTCTTGTCATAATACTTAAAAGGTTTGAAAATAATATTTATTATACAAATAATTTTGAGGGAGTCATAGAATTAACAAGTAAGGTTGCATAATTAAAAAGTCAAGCTGCATAATTAACAAGTATTGTTGCGTAATTAATAAGTAAAGTTACATGATTAACAAGTAATGCAGTTTAGTTGAAAGAGTGATAGATTTGACAAGCAAATTCAAGTGATTAACAAATCTTATTAAAATATTAACAATGATAGTTACATAATTAAGAAGTAATGTAGCTCTGTTATGAGATTCACGGATTTAACAAGGAGAGTTAAGTAATTAACAAGTTCTGTTAAGGTATTAACAAATATAGTTATGTGATTAACAAGTAATTTAGTTTTGTTGCAAGAGTCGTGAGATTAAAAAGAAAAGTTAAGTAATTAACAAATTCTGTTTAGGTATTTGTTGGAAATTGTACCTTAGGGCTAATCATTATACTATGCACATTATTATTTAATAAATTTCCTCTTTTGTCATCATATTAATTGTATGCTCACTATGATAACTGTATCCTTGGACATAGTGATTGTTCTGAATGTCTTTGGTTGGTCATCTGTAAGGAATCATAAATGAAACAAGACTAGTATGACTTTGATTAATTATAGAGATACAAATCAAAGTCATAAGCACTTGAAAGAATGCAAGGTATTGGACCAACTTGCTATGAAAAAGCTGCATGGTACAAGTTATAAGCTTGTCTCATATATAATCATATCACTAAGCCCTTTGACCTAAGATTATCATGAATTCCTACATGATGACCACTGAACTTTGACATAGTCAAAAGTCACCTTTGATTGGGTGATCATAAGGGTTATGATTGAGTTTAGTGATATTTATGCAGAGGAATATGAGTAGTGGTCAAGATGAAATTTATCTCTCACATTAAGTGAGAGATATTACTGGACTCCTTGATGAGTAAGACAGAAAATATATGGCCTTACTATAATGAAAAGAGTTTTTCCATTGCTACAATCAGTCTACTGAAAGATTGAGAAAGTAATGGTCAGGTAAAGAAGAATGACAATTTCATGTCTCATACTTGATCGAAATATCATGTGACAAAAGGGATGTGATATGTTTACATGATAGGTTACATAGGATTATAAACTTTTATATGAATTGGGTAGTTACAATGTCTTTTTAAAGGCTACTTGTGACTTGTGGGCTAATAGCATAATTAGCCTACTGCCAACTTCATATGGGTCTATAGGGTCGCACATAAGAACAACTCAACTTGAGTTATAATGTCCAAGTTCAATGAATTTGAAATGTGTCTAGATTCAATGAATGTAATATAAGGTGAATGAGTTATATATATATACATGTATATATATTTGAATATTTATTTGATAAATATTTATATGAAATATAAAATTCAAAATATAATTATGTATATATTTTTGAAATATATATATATATATATATTCATGTGTGTGTAGCTATATATGTATATATGTATATGTATATGATATATAAAATTATATATATATATATATATATAAAATATGTATATGTGATATATTATATTATATTATATTATATTATATTATATTGTGTTAGTTTTAAATTTAATTTTATATGATAGATTAAATTTAATAACTAACATGATATGAGAGAATATCATATCAATTCTATAGTTTAAATTTATAAAATAAATTCAAATTAGATATGATATTATAGAATTTATTTATGAGATAA